ACTTAGGCCTGAAGCACTATACAAATTGTGATATCTTCGATTCTTAAGAGGAAAGCAAGTCAGTTGTCTTGATTTTGAAGAATTTTAACGATTTAAAAATTGGCAAGGGAAGATAAAAGAATTGAAAATGCCGTCGCCAATTCTGTGTCTGTTTGTTTAACAACACGTTAAGTTGATAACACTTCTTAAGAGCCCTGTCTTTAAATTTAAAGAATACAAAAAAACGCATCATCCCATCAGTAAAGAGCTAAATCTCTCGAAAACGAGCTGGAGAATCTAGTGAATTTCAAGTCAGAATGTTTATTACTTATTGGTTAAAAGAAAGAGAAAAAACTAAGCCGCATCTGATGTAGTTAGCTAATTCTGTGCCGTCCATTTGAAGTAGCTCATTGTCGAAAAGAACGGTAGAAAAGATTCTGTGTGCGGTAATCAAAATCATCGAAAACCGTTCGCCGCGCGTCTCTAAAAACGCCTTCAAAAATTCGCATACGCAACTTGAGCTCCAGAACGTTCGAATAGTTGCATCAAGATCAATAAGCCTCTTCTGCAGCTTGTAGTAGCTTTCAGGGCAATCGTAAGCAAGCTTACTTAAGTTGTATGGTATAGTCCTATATAAGGAGATTTCTATAATTATATCAAGAAAGCAGATTTTTTCTTAAAAAAAAATGTATACGAAAATGAAGAAGATGAAAATGTAAGGCACATTACACATAAAATGTATCAATTTTCCCACTTTTTTGTTGCAATATGCTCGCAAATTGACAACCTGTGAATATCTTTCCATTAAGTAATACCTTTCAATTTTTCTTGAACAAGTATTTCCATCATCATTCAGCAGAAAGCGGCAATTCAAAAATTGGACAGGACAGATAAAATAATCAGAAGTGCCAATGTCAATTTTGCACGGAATTAAGAAACAATCATCGTTCGAGAAGAATACAAAAATGTCTTCCTCTTTCCTTCCGGTGTTCTGAAGGCGAGAGTGACAAGTCCCAACCCAATTTAAATTCCTCCTTCATATCCGAAGTTCTTATCGAAAACTTCAGGGCGTAAAGCGTTTTTTACCCAGTTAGCCTCAATTGAATTCATTAAATCAAATTCTGTTTACAAGTATTCATTCAGCGAAAGCTGGCTACCGCGAGCCAATCAAATGCTATAAAGTCTGCGCTCGCAAGCGTGGCGTGGGTTTGAAGAGATCGTTTACGCGACACAAATCCCAACTTTCTCCACTCAAAGCTGCAATAATGGCGAAAAGAAGGGAGGGAGGGGTTAGGATAGAACGAGAGAGCAGCCTGCGCTTGACTTTGGCGAGAGTGGGACGGAGGCTGTTTATTTGCGCCGCCTAAATGTGACGCCGCATTAGGGAGGCGAATTCGTAATCAATTACTCAGGGTTCAGCGTAGTCATGACTTGGCTACACACTCATAAAAGGACCCTGCCTTACTTACACGGACTTAAACTGCTCTGTAACCATGGCAGCCTTCGTAAATTACGTAACGCTCCGGCAGGGAGGGGTATACGTCTGCGTTACGCTACGTTACAAGAGGGGAAGGGAGGGCTAGTGCTAGCGTTATGTAACCCTCCTTCTAGGTAAGAAAACACACAATCCAAAATATATAATTCTCATTTCTCAGACGTTATTTGTCGCACTATCATTTATCATACTTCAAATTTCGTCCAGCTATATAATTCACAGTTTCAACAGTTTTCCAAGAAGAAAAGTCTGTCAAGCGCCGAGTGGTTCCTAAGGGGGGTCTGGTGTTGCGTTATGAAGCGTTAAAAAGGGAAGGGGGTCAACAATGCCAAAAAAGTGCGTTATGTAAATAATGAGTACTCTCCATGGTGCTCAGGCTATAAACCGATCCATTTACGGAATATCCTGATTATTTGAAATTTTCTTCATGTTATGTATTAAAACATCAAAAGTCGGTGGTGCGTCCAAAGTGCATCATTTCAAAGTCTATTGATTCCCGGATGGTGAAGGAAAACGCATAAGTCGTTAGGTAGTTTCTAGTGGAAAAAAGTAAAATTTTACGTCGCAGATACATTCAGCCTTTCCTAATTATGAATCTTGGACCAACTGAAGCAATCGGTGATGTTTCATTATTATCTCTTCAAAAATATTATTTTCGCTACAAACATCAATACACTTCATATTTAGAGACATTTCAACTGTCAAATGTCGGAAAAACTGTTTAAGTCTCTGTCAAAATATCTGAATGAAGTAATTGCACCGATATTGATTCAATTGAGTGGTCAGTCAATCGGCCGGGCACCGTCGTATTCAAAATACTATTTTTTCGTTGAAAAACAAGGGAAATAAGTCTGCAGCCGCGTTGAATCGACGTTCACTTTCGTTGGCGGAGATTGACCCCAAACCCACTCCTGCATCATTGTGCAGATGCATTTCTCCCGCGTTGGTTCCGTAACTTCCAATTTTTTGACAAAATGGCAGCTCCGCGTGAGTGTTTTCAATGCCCCTTGAGATGCATTTAGACTTGAGCTGTCGTTTCCTACTTTATCTAACTTATAACCTCCGTTCAAGTGGTGCAGTTAAAGGCATGTGCAATGTGCAATGTGTACTTCATAGCGACTGAGTGGAGTTACGGGAACCCTTGCGCTCTCTGGAGAGCCGTGACCGAATTATTTTCAATTTTGCTCTCGGCTTCGCCTATTGTCTCACAATCTGCAACTCTTGAAAAATGCAATCGTCATCACAACAGAAGGACTCTTCGGGAGAGAAAGCTCTCGAAACGGTGGCCGAAAAGCCAGCCTTGCTTCGGTGCCATTTGCATATGCTCATTGCGACAAAATGAGGCAGACGAAACGAATGAGACACCCTGGCAAGTCTTGTTATCAACATTGAAACTTTTCTACCTTCACACTTTCCCTCTTCTTATACATGTTCTTATTTTTTTTTATTATTTACCAGGGTAGTTGATTTTTTTAGCCATTCTCTTTTACTTATCTTAATACAATGAGCTGCTGATTGCATAATAAAATGCTCCAGGATATATTGACGTAAAAATAAAAAATTAATTAAGAAAATGAAAGTCGGGAAATCCATTCTGCTGTCATATTCTATTTTAGATAAAAAAAAAAAGAGTAGTTTAGTTGTTTTGTTTATTCGAACACACATGTATATTTGATTTTATTATTATTACATTTTCTCTTCTCGAAAATAATATATCTTATTTTCATTTCTTCATTCCTATCTTTTTATCTCCTGTTCTCTCTTTTAAATTAACCAATACTCAGAGGACTTCAACGTCTTTAAGCATCGAACGCAAAGGTTACCTCCGCAGGAATCAAACTCGAGGATTTTAGTAGCAGAGCACTTAGTTGGAGAGGGCAGGAGTTGTTTCCCGCTATGAAAACGTCTGAAAAAGGGACCACTCCTATAAAAAGGAAGTTTTACATAGATAGTTGCAAAGATATATTTAAAAGTAGCATAAAACAAATTTAAAAAGGTAATTGGTCCATTACTCCTGAAATCGTTGTCAAACCAACTAAAACACTGTTGACTGTACACTAACTGAAACACACTAAATTTTAGATGTCAGACGACACGTGGACTGCAAAATACATGTAATTGAGCTGGACGTGAATTTAGCTCGTGCATTTCATTTGTGCCCATATGTTCCCATCTATCTGAGGTGGACTATGCGCAATCGATTGACCTGTCTCCAACAGAGCAAATAAAACGAGAAGAGCTTGCGACAGAATTCTAATTAAAGGTGGGTAGGATTAAAGAGTTTCAGTTACTTTATGAAATGAGCTTAGCGTGTTGTATTAACGCGACTAAGGGCTCAGGTGTTCGGTAAACAAATGAAAGAGGCAGCGGGTGAGAAAAGGGAGTGGGAACGAGAAGTATAAGAAAAAATACAACAGACTTATGAGGGCGTGTGGTTTATTCGTGGCACCGTTGCCGTTCAAGTCACATTCGAGGTTCGTGTATATCTGTACGCAAATTAAAGTGAAATTTTACGCGATTCCACCGGATTTCATTACAGTCAGCCAAATCCCACTTCAAGACTTCCCATTGTGCAGTGGCGACTCTTAAAAGTTGGCAACACTGTTTTTCTCCATTTAAATCCGATAAAAATATCGATTTTAGGCGAAGCAAAATCCCTCATCAAGAATCAATTGTTTTACGTGTATTTAAATTGAAGAAAAACAGTGTTGCTAATTTTCAAAAATCGCCACTGCCGTTGTATGAATCGTATTCCTCTTGAAATTTTGAAGAGTGTTCATGATACTTGAGCTTCAAAGCAGACCTTGTCTAGTGGCCCATCAATCGTGCGATATTGAAGAATTCAACACACATTATATTTTCCTATAATAATACTTTTCCGTCATTAATTGAAATGAGAATAATCCATGCAGACTGTGCAAATATTTGAAAATCATAAGCTCAAAATCGATGACTCCGCGGGTTTAAATATTAGAGCCAAACATGCCGAGCGGAGCGGTACGCGCATTGGCGCCTACAAACCTAACAGGGATACTTCACGCATTGCGCAATGCGTGAAGTATCCCCGTTAGGTTTGTAGGCGCCGATGCGCGTCATGCTGGTCGCCCCCGCCCGCCGAGCCGCGGCGCCTCAAGCAACTATTTCGCAACAGAGGTATTGCACAGTATCATACGAAATTGAAGGCGCTCCAACGTATCAAAAATGACAGGCATCCTTCAAGAGTACGGAGTTTTCCTTGCAAAATAAATCGAGATACCACGGCACAAAACGAGAGCGGTAGTCCAAAGACTCACTTCGTCCTAGCATTCGTATTTTATAAAGTTTAGTTAGTTAGTTATTATAATTTTAAGACATTCAGCATCTCAGGCTATTAACGTCTTTACAGATAATTTTGAAAATGGGAATATAAACGAAAATTTAGATTTTTAAATTAAGAGAGGTGAAGAGTTTTAGAATTTTGGTGGTAATATTGGGTTCATCGCATGTAAGAGGGTTTGTATTTCTGTTGATTGTAGGGGAGTCGATCTGTGATTGGAGATATCGGAGGGAAGAGCAGTCCATAAGTATGTGTTTGATGGTTAGAAGTGATGAATTGCAGAAGTGGCAGATGGGTTGGTTTTCTTTGGATATGATATGACTGTGAGTGAAAAAGTGTTTAGCATTATTTTTGAATTATATTATATATATCATTGAACATGAAGCGACTTTCAAAAATCTGAAAATTAAAGTGTTTTTCATGAAAAATCTCAACAATATATAAACAAAAAAAACTTTGTTCATAGTTTACCACTGAATTCTCAGATGAGGTCTCCAGTGACTCTCAACAATGTGTCGCTGCATATAGCGCAACAAACCGCAAGCCACCGCGTCCGCGTGTCAAGGGGAGGAGAGGAAGGAAGAGGGCTGGAAGAATGGGAAGGGGGGAGGAAAGGAAGTTTTTTTTTCCACCTGCTACTTTTTTAAGCTCGTAATTATACAAAAGGATTTTATGATTGTCATATAACTAACTCCAACATTGTATACTAATTCATGACGGATTATCCCAGCTACGAGACTCTTTAATAAAAAAATAAGCAATTGTTCGTCTTTTTTCGTGGATGGCTTCAGCCTACTAAAGAGTATTGAATTCATTTAATGCCTTATCAAATTTCATATTGCACAAGAAAATATCTGCAGTTCGGTTTGAGTCACAATCACGCGAACACTGTAGTGTTGCTATTGGCTGTATCCTATAATTTAGTGATAAATTTCAGGTGATTTTTGCGACTTTTTGTCAATATAAAGAAAAATGACAGCACCTGAACTATGCAAAGACATTAATTGATTTTTGTCTTCAAATTCAAGCATGTCCTAAGTGTAAGAAAATGTCGCATTTTCAAAGAGGAGCGTGCATGAGGGAACTTTAAACTGTGGATTTTTTTTTTTTTTTTTTTTTTCAAAATCATAACTTCGGGTGAATCGGAATATATATAGGTATACAGATTTTTATGCAGATCATGGGTTGATGCTTCATTGGGAAACTTGATACGGAAAAAAAACATTCCGCAAATCTTAAATGCCCGGTGATCTGAAGAGAAAAACATACATTATTTTGCGCGACTGAACGCATTTTAATTACGGCTGAATGTTTTGTTTTACGTTGTACATGATTCGGAAGTCTCCCACAAGTTCCTGTTCCCAGGGGTCACTTGGTATCTCTAGTTCAAGAGCAAAAACGCAGAGCAATTCACCGAACATGTTTTTGAGCCCGAGATAAATTGATTTCATTGTCAGATCTGAAAACGCGGGAGGCTCAACAAGACTCCGCGTAACCCAGGAAGCTACGCGTCTCTGCGTGGATTGATTGATGAATTTGATTAATCACCGATCATTTGTTCCGGCCTTTCATTCCGGCCGGAGGGGAAGGGAGGGGGTGGGTGGGGGTGCAGCACTCTCTACTCAATCCTCCGCTGCTCAACATGATAAATGTTCCCACCGGTTTTTAATTAATAATTAGACCTATGAAAAAACACGAGTGAATAAAATGCGCCGGTGATTATACGACGAATTTTAATTGAAAATTTGCTAACCACATAAATTAATTCATTCAAGTGCACCTCGACTTCGATGCTTTCCGGAAATAAGTGTCCGAGTCACGCTTTACTGCGTTTGCAAATTGTCTCTTTTTCCTATTTTTCTAATTTGAGATATCGTGAAGAGTGTAATTTTGTACGAAAGTGAGGTCTGGCAATAAAAGTAAATATCCCAGAATAGAGGAGGATTGATGGTGAAAATATTCGTGCCTCGTGGATTGGGGTATGAGCGAACTCAATTTCGTCACCACTTTGGGTAGGACAGGACCTCCCCCCCCCCCCAAAAAAAAAAAACTTACGGGTGACCGAAACGAACCTCTGGCGGAGATTTAAAGGGATCTCGCGAAAAGAGTGCGTTGAATGATGGGAGTTGAGAAAGATATTATGCGCAATATCAAAGAAAAGCAGGTAGCTGGTTTGGTATGGACACATGCGGAGGATTGTAGATGATCGGTTGCCCAACAATGTATTTGATAAATTTCTTCCCGGGAAATACACAGGGCCACCGCTGCGTAGCAAGAGCGAGGAAAGTTAAAACGCCTTCAAATGAATGCGTATGCAACACGGACATCCGTCGAGTACGAATAGTTGTATGCAGCGCCTTTGTGAAAATCGTATCCTCTTTTCACGGTGGTTGCTCGTCGTTGCGCGTAAGCCTGCATATTTGGACCGCGTTTGGCAGAAAGGAACAAGCCAAATTAGCTATTGACAAATTGAACTGTGCAGTTTAATTTTTTACAAGAGATTGTTTCCGCAGATTATTTTGAAAATTATAGGGAATTTGCTTCGTAGTACGCAAAAAATTCACTGAAAGTTGCACATAAATCCGCACAACCTTTTCCATGTGAAGAATAAAATTGCCCAATTAAATTTGGCAATATCTGATGTGGCTTGGTTCTTTTTTGCTTAACGTAGTTAAATTAGGGCTTTGCGACATGTTTTCACTTTAAAATTTCCCGAGGAAAACGAATAACACAATGGGTGTTCTGGAAATCAATTTTTAACAAAATATCAGTGTTTAAAATCAACATTGAAACAAGGCGGTAAAACAGCACTATGAGTCACAATTTTTTGCGGGGAAAACAAAAAACAAAAATACAAAAATTTCTAGAAGTGTCCAAAATGTTTGAGCTTTGACAATGCATCTGCCTGCGCTGAACGCAGTCTCTTATTCATATAACGATACTTATTAGAGCTCAAAAATGTTTGATTTCAATCGAGATTTTTGAATTTTTTGGCCTTGCTTTCCTCGCAAAATAGTGTGGAAACTATTTTACCGCCTTGTTACATACATTTCGGGTCATATTTTTCGGTGTTCTTTTACTTTTAACATTTTATTTAAATTTCAAAAACGTCAGAAGTAAAAATGATGTCATTTGTACTTTTGTTAAGGAGTGCTCTCGAAACATTAAAGCCTTTTCACGTTTAAAGAGTCGGAACCAACACAACCCTTGTGAATAATTCGCTAAATGTTTTGGATGTATAAGAGTTCCGCCGTCGAAAGGAGTTACTTTCTTCTCCAGGCATAAAATGAACGCAAGGTTAAGCGCGTGCATTTTTCTTGTGCTTGCGGAGGAGGACTGTGTCACTGGATGATAAGCTCCCCTATTCGAGGGCTCAGAAACAAAGTAATCCACTCTTCAGCATCCTACTCTTTTGTGGGGCGCCTTTGAAATGACTTACGGTTATGCTTCCTAGGGCTTCGTTGCCATTCCATTAAGTAAAGAAGCGCAAACTTTCATGCCAACGGAGAAAATATTAAAAAATTGAAGGATCTGTCGAGCGTTGACGTTGGACACCGGGGTTTTTCAATAGAGAATTTACATCATTTGACAAACGATACTTCAAAAATAACCGTAAAATGTTGTACGGAGTCACTTGAGTTGGGAATATCCCTTCGAAATAAGAAATATTTTATCTTAAAGGAACAACTGTACTAGTACGTTTTGTACCCTTGTTCTGCACATCTTGCCTGGTTTTCTCTTCTCCAATGCCCAAAGTACAAAACCACGTAGCTCTGATTGCGACGCTGGAGACTTCTTGTTATACTTTATTTTTTCTTCGTGAAAGTAATCAACGTAATTCCTAGACAACCTCTTCTATATTTCCTCTCGGTTAGCAGAATCATTGGCGAGGCGTGAATGGTCGATTATCGATATCTCCTCATTTAAACCTGTGGTAAAGAATCGATTATTGAGGTGTTCGTTGCGAAAACTCTGTTTGTCCATCTTTTTCCGTAGGATTGAGTTGCAGAGCAATCGATACATCGCGAAGCACGTCACGCCACTGAGCAGAATATTTTGTAAAAATTTCAATAGCTATAAAGTTGGCTTGTTGCTTTTTGAAAACATTAAGAAGAACCTGAAATTTTGAAATACTGCAATTAAGATACGTGGTTTCTTACTTTGGCCATCGACTTGCTTCTTAGGCCTATTATCATGTGCAATTGTTTGCCCTTCATGCACAACGGCAAAGCACACCTCTTTTCCGCTGGTAAGATTCTATGAGATAAAATATAAAAAGTAATCTTGGCTTTATTCAATCGCACAAAAAACCAAATTTAAATATATCATTAAATACTGAAACTGAAAACTAGGAATAATAATAAGGAAATTTTTACACCCGTGAAATTAGTCGCTAAAACAACTGCGCTGTTAAAAATCGGAAAGTGAAATTCGGCGCTAGAGTAGAAACATTGATATGAATGCAAAGTGTAATTAGCACCATAAAAGCGCGTGACACTCCGCAAAAAGAGTAGGTTCTGCTCCGTAATATTGTAAATCACTCCGTAGGGAGAATAGATTCTGCATTATGAATCAATCGGAGTTTTCGGGCACAATACATATAAACTCCGGCACTGGGTTGTACTCCAAAATTTTTGGCAGCTTGCTTTGAATATATTACTGAACTTGAAAACTTTAAATAATGTGAAAACTTAGACACGTGTAAGTTGCCACTGCAAACGGGATAAAATCCACAAGAAAAACATGTTATGAGTTTGACAAACTTGAGGGTAGGTGCGAAGAACTCATCTTATTGACATAACTCGCGATATGTTTTGCTTCGTGTTTTATATTTTTGGTAGCGGTAAATCATTGTACTCCTATTCAAAGACCCATTTCCAAAGTTTCACTGCTCAACTCTACCAGAAGTCTGTAAACATTGGATGATATGCTTGGGATCTCTTTAAACCTCCGTCCATCATACAAACCAAAATTGGGCCTCATACGGAAAGGCGCTGCTCAAGGAACGCTGGACACAACTGATAAACTATATCATTAAAAAAGTAAGGTATAGACAGAAATTTTGTGACAGAGCGATGGGGATACGAGCTTTACATCTTTTTCCATCGATGTACGTACCCTATGATAGCATGATCAGCTTTTCATAGGAATATTAAAAAAGGGGAAAAATGTCGGGTTGTTTAAAGCTTGGATCCACCCCGCCGGTTGGCGCAAATTATAATAAAAGTTTCATCGCCAGCTTATTATTTGAGACGCTGCACAGTGGATAGTCAGTTAGAGAAGTCGGACATAAAATTGTTGACTAAAACTGAAAATTTTGACG